TAAAAAATTTTCTCTAGCAACAAATTGCTGAAATCTCTGTTATAAAAGCTGAAAAATAAATACATAACAAAATGTTCCTGATTCTTGTTTTTTGTGGTAGCCATTTGATTTGTTAAAACTTTTCCATTGACACTTGGCCACATAAATCTCTCTGCAAAACAAATATAAATCCGATCTTCAATTCCCCCGCTATATACACATTAATATAATTCAATATGCAACAGATATAAAATTCCATGCAGAAATGATACAGGTCTATAAATGAGACTAGACAAGATTAAGCAATGATTAGCTGATAGATGATTTCCGTGGACAAGACGCTAAGTGATCATGCCTGTATAAGGAGGAGTTGGGGATGGAGGAGGGTAAGTGTGAGTACGGATGAACTTACATATCTTATTTAATTGTAGTGGGAGGAGTAACAATCAGCTGAGCGTCAGCTGATGCTGGCTGTCATGCCGTGGTCTGCCTGAACCAAGCTTGAGCTCCATTCGTCACTCAAATTACATTTCAGTCAGGACCAACTCTGTTTGATTAAGATTATTGTAGAGGTCCTGAAAGTTATTTTGGTGGCAGACTTTGCTCTGAAAGGTTCAAATTCTGAGCTGTCCACAAACAAACCTCGCTGACGTTTCAAACCCCCAACACAATGATGTAGTATGTTAATTCTAAGATCAATCAAGGAGCACAGCAACTTTTGTGGATGCTCTCTCATCTCAGCTGTGCGGAGATAGGATATTTCAATTATAATCGGGAATGCTGTTCACTGGTAAGGCGATTGGTGAGGGCAGGGTTCGGCTAGTAAGTTTGGCATCAAGGCCAAAAAAAAATTTGATGGCGGGCCAGAACATAGTCAAAGGATAATTTAAGAAATGAATTGATGAAAAATGCAACTAGAATTGCCTGTGACAGACTGTGCTCCGCCTTCGCTCCATGTCTAAAGTATTTCAGTTTGTTTGAAATATCACAGTTCAGTTCATAACGTATATTAAAAAATAAAATAAATAAAATAACAGGAGAGTTTCAAAGTGACTTATTGGAACACTAGTGTGCAAACTTTTTTCTTACGACATGACAAGCTAATAAAATGGTTGTCAGCATTAAAAGGTATAATTGCTGCTTTTTGCAGTGCAAATTTAGTTTGTGATGAAAATAACAGTATGTTTGCATCAGTTATTTTACCTACAGATCGATGCATTTCTTACAGATTCTGCTCATTCGAAATCAGAAAGGCCTACAGATGAATTAGCACTGTAGATTACATTTGTTTGAATGCATTATTGAGAGAGCGACTGCGTGTGAATAAGTGTTGTAGTACTTGTTTAAATCATGCTTTTAGCTGAAATTATTCAGTATAGAACTATAACTTCCCGCTCTTGTCCATTGCCATCATCATAGCCTTCACATTCTTTCTGATTTGAGTGATCCTTCTCTATCAAGCGAGCTAAATGTTTAACATGTGAATTCTTGCTAAATGGGCAGTTATATTACGGGCCGTTGGCATGAATTGTACTCGTGATGGAGCGGTGGTGGAGCGCTCTTGGAGCGAGTGAAAACCATGACGCTCCGACTTTTAAAAAACCCGCTCCTCGCTCCATTCAAAATCACACCGCTCCGCTCAGATGATACTGCAATATATTGACTTAATGTCTTTGTGCGACAGAACCAAAGGCTGATTTAGCGTATTTTCTTTCAACGAAACTGAAGCTGATTTGACGGGTGACGGAACTCAAGCTGTTTTAGCGCGATTCTGTGACATAAGTGAAGCTTGACTAGGTGCATGTCTGTGCGACAGACTAAGGCAAGTGTGAGTATGGATGACCTTATACATCTTATTCAATTGGGTTACACTTTATTTCGATAGTCCACTTTAGACATTCTATTAACTATAAGTAACTTTGTAACTACATGTCAACTACATGTCAACTAATTCTCATTACTTTGCAACTACATGTCTACTAACTATCAGAGTAGACTTAGGGTAGGTTTAGGGTTAATAGAATGTTGACAAAGAAAGTGTTAGAAGATATTAAGCAGACAGTCTACTAATACTCTACTAACGGCTAGTTGACATGTAGTTGCAAAGTTACTTACTGTTAATAGAATGTCTAAAGTGGACTATCGAAATAAAGTGTTACCTTTAACTGTAGTTACAACCAGCTGAGCATCAGCTGATGCTGGATGCTTAGGCTCCATTCGTCACTCACACTACATTTACAGTACATTTGTCCAGTTGCATCTGGAATGTGTCTTAAACCACCTCCTGAAGTGGTTTGTGCGATCGGATTGTCTTGAATACATTTCGGAGGGCATTTACACTTTTCTTTTCTGGGATGGCTATCCAATCAAAGAAAACACATGAAGTGGCCAAGTCATAGTAGGCCTCGATTTTGTGCTTACGGCCTGATTCTTAAGCACAGACATTTGTATAAAGCCCAGAGTTTTTGTTTGGAAAGAGTGTGCAGTGGATTTGTTGGAATGTGTTAACACATTCACATAAATTAATATTTTAAGATCAGCAGTCAGAGCATATGAAGAAACATTTAAGATGTATGCAAAGAACCAAGACAGCGTTTTACTGCAGAGTGTTATCAGCTTGGCAAACTTACTAATAGCAGTCTGCAACATTGCATGTATGACTCAGTCAGAAAAACGTATATTGCAATTACTACTCATTGATTTTGTACTTAATTTATATTCAAATGACTCAAGTCAGTTCTGTAATTGCTTCCCCTTTATTGTTCTGATCAATTCCAATTTTGCTCTTCTCAGATGTATATTGAAAAATAAACAATGCATGTCAAGAGCATTTGCCACTTCTGCTGGCCAGCAAAGTCCTGAAAGAGGAATTGTACAAAAAGTGTATACTGATATATTTTTCCACCAACCACCCCAATCAACTGTAAAGCCTCATTTTACAACTTTACAGGCCTGGCACAAACTATATTGCTATGTATGACATGTTAACTAAAACATTTGGTACATAAACAAAAGAGTGGATACTGTGATTTCTAAGTAGAAAAACATAGATTTTTTTATGATTAACATACTGGTCGAATGGAGATATCTTAATTAAAAGTAGACATATTAATCATGATATTTTACATGATGTGAATTTTAATTCATAGAAATACTGAATACATTCTCATATGATTGTTATAAGCAAAATCAACATATTGATGACTGAAATTATGTGATTTTTTTTCTTTTATCTGTAGTAAAAAAATTATCTGTAGTAATCACTTTATTTATATTCTTAGTCAAAGACCACCAGCTCTCAAATGTTAGCAAATTTCACCATGAACTGCTTACACAACTGTACTCCTTTTTTTGTTTTTGGACAGATGAAAGTTGGCAAAGTGCAGCTACTTTTGTGAAGAGTGTTGCTCTCCATGTGCTCATGTCAATTGTCTTGACCCCTCCCATCTTGTTACCTGATTATTAGTTAATTTGTCCCACATGTGGTCCCTCATTACCCTCCTCATTTGCTCTCCATTTATGCTCCTTGTGTTTGCAGTCGTGCGTCAGTTCGTCATCGTCAATCCCTGGATGTGTCCAGATCCTGCCTTGCCTTGCCTTGCCTTGCCTTGCCTTGCCTTGCCAGCCTGTTTTTCCCCCACGGGGTAGTTTCTGTTTGTTTTGTTTTATTTTAATAAAGAAACCCATTCTTCTGCAGTACTGAGTCCTCGCTCCATCCTCTACCCTAAACCCTGACAAGTGTGGCAGGAATTGTAGTAGGAATAAAAGCTTAAAGCTCCTTCTGTGAAAATGAATCAAAGCTCAGACTGTGAGAGTATCCGTATCTCTATTACCCTGTCTATTCCCTGTCACATGCTCTCTCAATAGCTCAAAGCAAGTATGCTGAAGTGAGTGCTGTCATCACTTTTTTTAAAATTTGATTTCACCTGGGTTCCTGGAATGAAAAGCTTTTCCAAATATATTAATACTCAGCTAAACTTTAAAGGTGCAGTAGGAGATCTTGGAAAATGCGAACTTATTGTCGCAGTCAGGTGTTTATTATCTTTATGTTTCATTATTCATAGCTGGATGCTTTTGTCCATATTAGGGATTTCCTGGAACATCGTGAGTTCTATATGTGGAGTTTATGCACGAGGGCACCCTCCGGATTCCAGTATGAATGAAACAGACATTAAATGTGTTTATAGTGCTCAATAATGTCCAATCCATCCTATTTTGGGTAACAATAGGAAAAATAATACTTCTCTCAAAAGAAATTTGAAGTAGACATGATAATCCATGTTTTTTTTCAATAAAAAAGCCGTTCTTTAATGTCATCCACCATCATTTTGTAGCTCTTTTTTCTTAAAGTATCGGTTCAGGCACCGGTACCATTTTAAAAGTATTGATTTGGCACCGGTATAGTAAAATACACAAACGAAACCCAACCCTAATCCTAATGACAATGATGAATTAATGATATTCAGAAGAGTATCTGTGACTTCTGGAAGCACCTCTTTTAGTAGCTTAGATGGCATAGGATCTAACATACATGTTGTTGGTTTAGATGATTTAACAAGTTTATACAATTCTTCTTGTCCTATAGCAGAGAATGAGTGGAACTGTTCCTCAGTGGATCTATAGTGCACTGTCTGATGCAATACTGTCGCTGACGGCTGCATGGTTAAAATTTTATCTCTAATAGTATCAATCTTGGAAGTTCATAAGAAGTTTCATCAAAGAAGTTCAAAAAGTCATCAGTGCTGTGCTGTTGGGAAATGTCTGCGCCTGCTAATGCTTTATTTTTTGTTAATTTAGCCACTGTATTGAATAAATACCTGTAAAAGTAAAAAGTAAGTAAATCTATCAATTTTTAAGGCTTTTCTGGATGTAGAAGTACTTACCTTCCATGCAATATGACATACCAAGTTTTGTTTTCTACCAGTTGTGCTCCATTTTCTGGCTGCTCTTTTTTTAAGGTGTGAGTGTGCTAGTTATACCACAGTGTCAGACTGTTTTCCTTAATCTTCTTTAAGCGTAAAGGAGAGACTGTGTCTAAAGTGCTAGAAAAGAGAGTCAATAATTTCTGTTACACCATCAAGTTTTTCTGAGCTATTGGATATGCTGAGGAATTAAGACAAATTGGGAAGATTATTTTCAAACCATATTTGTAACAAGGAGTTGAATTTTCAGCTTTAGCTATATGGAGTATACACAAGACTAGATAATGATCTGAGATATCATCGCTCTGCTGCAGAATTTCAGTGCCATCAACATCAATTCCATGTGATAGTATTAATTATAAACCGGCCATTTTTTTGTTTTATTGCAGCCGATCTCTGTTCTGGACTTGCACAAACTGCATTGCAATGCAATCATTTTCCAACATGTCATTTATGTGAAAATATGAAGTATGTAAACACCATTAACAGAGGCCAGAGACACTGAAGACGGACGCAAAGAGAAAAATACTGTAGCAGGCAGATCACTCACTGTTCATGATGCACGAACTATTGGGAGAAAATCTTATTGCAGCCGATCTCTGTTCTGGACTTGCACAAACTGCATTGCAATGCAATCATTTTCCAACATGTCATTTATGTGAAAATATGAAGTATGTAAACACCATTAACAGAGGCCAGAGACACTGAAGACGGACGCAAAGAGAAAAATACTGTAGCAGGCAGATCACTCACTAGGTGCGTTGTACAACCTCGGTTGTATTGATATGAGCTTTATAAAAAAAAAAAAAAAATACAAGTACATCTCCTTTCAACAGGTCAGGTATGCCCCAAAAACTCGTCGGTAACACTTTACAATAAGGTTCATTAGTTAAACATTAGTTATAACATGAACTAATAATGAACTGCACTTATACAGCGTTTATTAATCTTTGTTAATGTTAATTTCAACATTTACTAACACATTATTAAAATATTGTTAACATTAGTTAATGCACTGTGAACTAACATGAACTAACAATGAACATCTGTATTTTTATTAACTAACGCGTATTGCTCATGGTTAGTTCATGTTAGTTTATACATTAACTAACGTCCAATTGTCTATGAAACCTATGTTATTCTGCGGGCATCACTTAGACATCTAGCCATTGAGTGACGACAGTCTGCTACATATCTCATCACCAAGGTAAGCAGGGCGGGGAGCAGAGCATATTACAGTGTCTGACATCGTACTTGCAAGTTCACATACCTCTTTAAATGTCACTTTTAGTGATCTCTGATTGGCAAAGTCGAACATCATTATTGCTGAGTGTAATAACAATCTTACTGAATTTACTTTTAGCATTAGCCAGCACTTTTAAATTTGCCAAGATGTCAGGCGCTCTGGCTCCTTGTAAATATTGGACTAAGGTGGCTGGTGTCTCTATTTTCATGTTCCGTACAATAGAATCACCAATAACTAGGGCACTTTCATCAGGTTTCTCAGTGGGTGCACCACTGAGTGGGCAAACGATGTCAAATTAGTTTGATAGATAATTTCAGAAATATGGTGAAAATTTAAGTTATATTTTAGCAGTTTAAACAACAGAGAGTGATAGTAAGATAGAGATTCCAACAGAAAAACAGAGCTACATGGAGCTACAATCGCAAACTACTCAGCAGGATAGCAGACAGGAACCAGAAATTCTAGTCTTCAGTGTCCAAATCAGGTAAGGTCAGGTAAAGGGATTTAAAGGGATAGTTCACCCAAAAATGACAATTCTGTCATTTAATTGCTCACCCTCATGTTGCCCAAACCCGTAAGACTTTCATTCATCTTCATCTTTCATTCTGTTGTGTGTTGTTTTAAAAGGTTGTGCAACAGTTAATTTTTATATGTACTGTATTTTTTCCTTGGATCTGCTGATTCAGTCTTTGTTACTCACACTAGTATTCCATACTCTTGGAATCTGGACTTTAAAATAGTCTTTAAATAGAATTTAAAGCATAAAGGCTGGTCCAGTTTGCGGCTCATTATGGCCAAGAACCACCCACTTAGACAGGAAAGATCTATTTGACCCACATGAAAAAGAACCGCTTTGTTTTTATGAGATGTTTAGAAAGTGGGTTTACCTGAAATAGCAATTAGCTGAAAAAAGTGATTACCAAAAGTAATATGCACAGATTATTGCACCCACATTATACAGTTCAGCTAGTTTACTTCATCTAGTTTACTTACTGTTAAGCACCTCAAATCAAACTCAGAGATCTGATGACACTAACCTGGAAAACTTTGGCAAGTTGTGACTAGTTCTTCCTCAAAAGCAATCACCCAGAACCTTGTAAACACAACTTTGTATCTAGGTGAACTTTTGAAGGTTACATGCCAAGACTGAAACTATAAATAAAATATTGGATCATACGTTGCCATTTCCATTTTGTATGTGCGTGGAAAGAAAGAATGGAGGAAAGGAAAACATTCTAGTCAAAATGATGATGATGTCTAATTTATAAAGGTAGATCCACATGGAAGGTGGGAGGAATAGATGAGACTAATTTCCACTTTGCTGAGGGGGTTATATCCTGTTTCCTATTGAAGCAGATGATGTAGTGGGAATAAGACCTTGGCTGCTTTATTTGGATTGGATATGAGGGGAGATATATACGCTAGCTTGAGTAGCACACAGAAGGGAGTCTCATTGTCGGAGACACTCAGGCTCCTGCAGTGCCCGACATTCAGGAACCTGCTGAGAGTGTGTCAGCACATTATTCACCAGGCATATAGCACATCCCTTACAAATTGCATGTGGCAAATCATAGCATATGCATTTTTGTCTTGTTTATTCAGAGACAATTTATCTGTTTAACCATTTGTAGCATATGCATGAATCATTGAACAGCCCTGCAAGCAATGGTATGTTTGAATGTAATCAAAGCTTAGTATGCTTCAAAGCATCGCAGAGAAGAGTGTATTGATTTGTGTGTGTGTGTGTGTGTGTGAGTGCATGTGCGCATCAAGTGTATTGCCACATGATGGAGAGGAAAATGCATAGAGCAGCTAACCACAGTCCAATGGTAGATGCAGGCCAAAGACCTGATGCTATTTACATGCAAATTAGAAAGGGTTTGTGTTGCTTTTCATTTATAATGCTGCACATAAGCTTCAACACACTTCATTAGCAGTGGCTACCACCCCTGATTACAGAAACTTTCACAGCTTTCTTCTCACTTTAATTTATTAAATTCATTGTGTCAGAATTGTGCTTTGAGCCCGGACTATGGAGTTTTCTATAGTCATCTTATTTACATTTACATTTAGTCATTTAGCAGACGCTTTTATCCAAAGCGACTTACAATTGGGGGATACATAAAGCGATTCTTCTTAAAGAGGCAAACAGACACAGGAAGTGCTTGTAATACCAAGTTTTTAGACATTGTTCAAATAAGTACAAGCTAGAAAGAGAAGGAATAAATAAAGAGAGAGATTTAAAAAATTTTTTTTAATCAATTTATGGTTGATTTTGAACAGAACTTTTTGAAAATAAAACTGAGTGTAGCTAGCAACTAATTCGGCTTTAACAGATATCAATGCCCATGAAAATGCTGGTATTAATAGATTAATGATTTACTGGTACATTTTAATTGTTTGTGTGACTACAAACACCAATATGAATACTCTATTCAAGGGGTAAACTTATTCATGCCAAGGCAGCTAGGTGTAAAGACACATTCATACTGTGTGAAAAATAAAATAAAAATAATTTGTTATATGTTTTGTGTATTTTATTTTGCACCGTTGGATTAATGGTGTATAACCCAGAAGAGACGTATTTTCAAATCAATTAAAATGTATTTGTATAGCACTTGTCACAATAAATTATTTTTATATTACATTTTAAAATAGATAAAACAGCTATTTTAAATTTTAATAACATTTCACAATATTACAGCTTTTTCTTATAAATGCAGCCTCGGTAAGCAATAAAAGACTGCTGTCAAAATCCTTTAAAAAAATCGACTCTAAACGTTTGAACTGTAATTGAGTTCAATTCAGTCCAAAACTATGGCTGTTAGTGGATTATTTCTGATTAATCTCATGATTTTTGACTAGAAGGAAAAAAAATGTTCTGATATTTTCTGTAAACCCTTAGCACCCCTTTGCAACCTCTGCTCTGCTCTACTATAGTCTTATGTATTCACTCTCCAAGAAAGCTTAAAATATGTGCATGATTTCAGTCATAGACTCCTATCTTATCTTCCTTTTATTTTGTACCTTTTTACTTTGTTCAGTGTCATATTTTACAAGGAGCTGCCGCCACAACACTATTATTTCAGATCTTTGGGAAAAGTAATAAGATTGAGAAAGGACTCAAAATAGGATACAGGTGTATAATAGAAGTGCTTTTCAATCTTTTCAAAGGGACACATGTGAAAGATCCCATTGTATATTATTCAGTTGACCTTTTCAGTCTTCAAATTCCTCTTCAAGTCAAAACAACTGAACTTGTGGTTTCCTAGATCTATTGTGTCCTAGGTCTTAGATCCTGCCCTGTTCCATTCAGTCTCCTCAGCCTTATGACTTAAGCATTTTGTAGTGGGGGAGCTTTGAGATTCAGACTGTGCAATAAATGTTGGAAACATCTTCTGCAAAGAGGCATGGGAAGCCATCTGAAGAATGAAAACAATTCATATGAGACAGCATAGCCGTTATGAACCACAACCATTCAGAGCGCCATAACAATTGCATAGCAGTGCCCTAGAAACAATCCAGAATTCCCTATCAACTGCATAGCAATGCCCTAGCAACATGCTAAAAACACCTTAGTACCACTTTTATTTTCTTCAGAAAATGTACTGTAAAAATTTGGTTCCTTTTTTATTTTTGTGCAGTATTATGCAAATACATGCATACTTTTTTACAATAGTATTTCTCAGTTGTAAAACTCATCTTTAACAATGTTGAATTAATTATCAGCTCTGCTAAATTTTGTTGAGGTGGTTTAATGCGCTTATGGATTAATGCTCTTATGCATGTAATTCTATTCAACAGAAAAGCATAATCCTATGGTTTATTCTTTCATTTCATTAGTTTCTCATCATGAGTATCTGTAAACTTTTAATTAACTTAACCAAAGATTACCCCAGTAAAAGTTTTAAATGGTGCATTTGAAAAAAAAAAAAATATATATTTTGACTCTCTCCAGTCAGGTTTCCAGCGCATTTGATGCATCGCTGCGGTCATCCTGCGGAAGCGGAGTAAAGGATGTTGCCTACAAGCTCACATGCAGGTAGTATTGCGGTGTCATGCCGCAGTCTCATCAAGATGGAAATGGCATGCAGATGGGTCCTCCCATGGCTATAGTGTCATTAATCTAAAGCATGTTACAACGTCTGGAGATCAATGACAGAGCCATACGGCCCTTTCATCAACGTCTAGGCGTTTATATACTGAAACATTCATAAAGCTCCTGA